AACTTTCCCTATGAACATGGGGTTCTTTGTGTCACATTCTCTCCCTCCTACTCATACAAATACATTGCAACATCCACTGGCAAAGAGTTGGTCTTCATTCAACAAACTCTTTTTGACACTTTATAATTAAGTCTGAATAATGCAATTATATTGTGGTTCTCTCTGTTATTATTGAGTAGATATCACAATCTATGCCAGCTCTTATACTAGTTACTGAAATGTTAGTTTTCTACTATTGCCAGTTTTGTTCCGTACTTGTGCTTCGTGGGAGTCTACGAACACTGTCTACTTTTTGTTCTTAAGTAATTTTATACAGTATACAGGGTTCATTTTGGAAATTGTCTGTGTGTTGTTCCACACAGTAGCTGTGACACTGCAGGACGATAATTGACTAATGATGGAGTAATGGACCGGCTCACACTAATCTGCAGGACATTCTCACATAGTGGGCGGCTCCCCCACTCCAGGGACCCAGCTGTGGGACTGGGGAAAAATGGAAAAAGTTCTGAGTATTAATGATTGACAGTCGCTTGCTTATTTAATTGTTTTCAGGGTTAATACAGGATTTTAATAATAATTAGAAACACACTTGAACGATTTTTTTTAATTAAAGTTAATTTGTGCAGCCACATTCCTGGACATAAACAGGATGAACATAAATGCATTTAAAAATATAAAGGTTATTCACTTGGGGAAACCACTGCATGTCTATGAGAAATTCATCACAGTTTCACCTAATTAAATTGAACTAATACTACTCAGTCCAGATGTATTATTTCTATGGTATTTTTTTAATAAAAAACAACAAGTTATTTGTTAAGATGTTCTAAATACATTTATTCAATCTTTACAATATATTCATTGTATTAAGTTTCCATATCAATTTATACTGTTATTGAATGCTGTTATTGTGCTGTACTAAAAGGGAAAGTGCTGAAGACAGGTGTGTATGCTGATAGTTTACATAAGAGGATGATATGAACAACACTGAATGGTACTGATTGTTACACTTGGTGATAGAGAGAGGACACAGAACCGGTCAGAACTGGTTTCTTTGCCCAAATAAGGAGACCAAGGGAAGACATCCGAAATGCATGGTCTTATCTGACTTGAACTACAGCATTTCCACATAGCTCCTATTGGTGGAGAATCTTTGTTTGGAGCAGTCTTTACCAATCAGTGCTCTGAAGTGGCACGTGAACACCACATGGCTGTGGAATGCCAAGGTACTGACCATTGAAGTGTATGTTAAAAAAATTTAAGCTTTGAGCACTTAGGTGTTCCTCAGTGCAGTTCTGAATGTAACCATTGTTCTGCTCTCCTTGCTGCAAGTAAAACTTTTAAACTTTGAGATCTCGTATTTGATTCTTTATTTGATTTTTATTTTATTCTTTGTGTGTTAGGAAACAGGGGTATGAACTAACAACATATTTTACAGTCCTATTTTACAGTCCTATCTAACAGAAAAAAGTTTCCTGACATTATTTATGTTATAAAACTGAGTAGTAGACTAACTTTTATTTAATTCTAAATTTGCGTACAGGCATAAAATGATTGTCACTTAAGAAAAATTGCAAAAGTTAGATTTTCACCCATCGGCCAAGTTGAATGCTCATCTTTACAATTTCACGCTGTTCTTGTCATTTGTCTCGGCACCATATTCACTTACTTTTCTACCACTTCTGTTATTTAAATGTAATATTGTTGGTGGAAAGCATAGACCGGGAATAATGTAAATATAAGAGTAATATCCTTGCTCAGTGATTCAGTAAAATAAAAGTGAAGTGAATTATTTGTCATTGTGACACAGCACTCCACTGCACACAACAAAAGTGACCTTTGCCTTTAACAGATCATCATAGTGAGCAGGGGGCAGCTCAAGCTCAGGACCCAAGGAGCAGTGCATAGGGACAGTGCTATGCTCAGAGCAACTGAGTGGCACCAGGTAACTGTTGGATTCAAACCTACAACCTTTCAGACCTAAGTCTGCTTCCTTAACCACCAAGATACCAATGGATACCTGTGTGTTTATACATAACTCAAATATAAGTCATACAGCTAATTCACTTAAATAACCTGAGATTTCTTTCCTGTAGTCATTGAAATATGTAACAGTTTATATAAACCAAACAGAGTCACAATGAGTTTGTCAAGGTTTTAATTTTTAATGAAGTCTTAAACATAAATATTATTCTTAATTAAATTAATGATAGAATAGGTTTTGTATAAACAACCCGTGTAGACATTAAAATATATATTTTGTCCTTTGCCAGATATTTTGACTTCTTTTTTAATGTTGCAAAATGAGCATTTAAGTTTTTTTATATAAACTGTGATCAAAGACACAGCCTCTCATTGTTGACTTTGGGATCCAACTTAAACATCGCCCACTCAAATGAACAGAAGCAAATGATAAAATATGTTTAATTTAGGATTGCACTGTAGTCATGTTGTGTTCATTAATCAGTGATTTCGGGATCACACAAATACTGTTTCGCATAAATAGTACAGTATAAAGGGGTTGAATTTACTCGTTTTAAACTCAGAAATATTAATTTAGGATAAAATATTATGTAACATGTAAATTGTAAGACCTCTGACCTCTGGTCTGCCTGTGGAGGGCAGTAATGGGGCATAGTAGTGTAATTTAAACAACAAGAATTTATCTTACAAACATCACCAGTCATCCTTTGACAGGAATCTAATCCTTATGTTTCCCTTCAACACCATGTAATCTGGAGAACACAAACCACCAGGTTTACACCTCTCCATCCCCTGTCACTGTATAAAATAACCTGTATTGTAAAACTATATATATTTGTAGCATATCTGTGGTTGCCAGATGACTATTTCATCGCTTGTGCACATTCGTTTCAAAATAAATAGAAGAATAAATATAAATTAAAAAAAGCGAACATGTGTATTGAATATTAGTGTTTATGATTAGAATAGGAGAAAATAAATGACTGCAGCTGATTTTAAATGTATTTTTCATTGGTCAACGATTATAATTGTGAGTAAAAATCTGCTCCACGATGGAGATAACACATCTATGTTCAGCAACACTTGATCTCCTTCATCTCTCTGTTCCTGCTGCATACATGTTGCTTCAATGACTAAACTCACACTCTGACTCTGGCAACAATTAGAAAATTGTGGTTCAGGCAACAGACTCTGTTCTGTATAGAGTGTAGCAAAACTAAGCCTGTCATGATCATAACACACTAAGTAAAATCATATAAAGAGCACAGTTTTTTAATCTAACAATTCATGACCTTTTGAATAAGGACAGTGTAAAGAGACTTAGA